AAAAAAAAAAAAAAAGATATTTATGAAATTTAATAACACAATCGTGTGTAATGGTGTGCCTCGTGCTATTCACATGAACACAGTCGTATTGGCCTCTAACAGGAAAGACATTTCAAAGAAATCCATTTGTGATGTCGGCTGGAGAATCCCAGCTGGTGAGTTTCTGTCACGTAACACAGTGAATTTATACTTTTAGGGGGTTTTTTTGCAAGAGAATATTTTAAGTCGTTCAGATGTTGATTTTGCTCTGTTCGCCCCGCCCAGGATAAATGTAAATGCAACTGTGCTGTACAAAAATTTTACTACACGTTTGGTGTGAACGCACCATCACAATTATATTCTCCAACATTCAAACTACAGGGACAATTTAGGCAACCAGACTTAACCTCCTAAGACCCAAACTCTTTCATGGCATGCACTTTTAATTTCTCTTTGCCATTTGGGCTGATTGGGACCTGATGAATGTAAAAACAAAGAATTACCTGATTTTCTTTCTTTTTTTCTTTTTTTTTTTTTTACCTGATTTTTGTTTCTGAGAAAAATGAGATCCAGATGAGGACATTCGTTTTAAATTTTGATAGAACAGTAGCAGTATAATGTACTCGTAAGTGCATATCAGGCCGTTGTAGAGCAAAATTTAGTATTTTGGTCTAGACAACCCAAAATGTGATGTCCAAATATGTGGACGCCAGGTCCTAGGAGGTTAAAGACTAGACAGACCACAGTGAATACAGAAACACACCCACCCACCGCAATGCACCATAATTAATTTGAACTCTTCCAAAAATGTAAACATGCTCTTCACACAGGGATCAATGTGTCTGGGCTGTAATACTCACTTTTCACTTGTTTCTTGATACTTTTTGTGACATCAAGCCAATGCTGAAAGAATACAAAGCAACAACAATTAAATCAATACAGCAAGGTTTAGCAAAACTAACACGAAAGCCAACAGCAACATTACTATATATGCGCCTTTATTGAACATAGAAACAAAGCACTGGTGTGATCAACTGATACAAACTGACCAGTTAAGTTAATTGGTTAATAAGTGCGCTGTTCTTCGAGGTTTCTTCTTAGAAGTTCAGGCTCTGCGAGGCATGAACTATGTTAGAGAGAGAGGGAGGTGTCTGTGTCCATGTCAGAGACAGAGATAGATAACAGAGGAACAGCACTCTCTCATCTCTCTCCCCCACATTCCTTATTGCAGCCCTCCCTCTCCCAGTGCTCTAAACCTGCCTCCTGTTTGCCTGCCTTTGAGTTTCCCAGTGAAGGAACAGAGTCCCCGAGAGACCGATGACTTCAAACTGTTTGTGTAAGAGGACAGCCCGACTCCCAGAGTGGACCAAGCCTTTAAGCCCTGAAAGTGAAAGTCTGTGTCTCAACTTTTCCTGGGAGAGCAGTAATGTGGGATACGTGGCTAAAACACAACTGTCAGAGACACTTGGTATGATATCAAATAAAAGCATGACACAGAATTATACGGCAGCAACATACAGATAAAGAATAGATGTTTAAATTTTTGATATTTACTATAATAGAGTCATAAATTAAAATGAACTCCTTACCCAATAAATAAAATAAGATGTATATTTTTCCATAACATAAGTGCTAAAAGTTAGAAAAGTAAACAAACAGTGTGTAAACATTTACTTTTTATGCATCAATCCAATATCTGTAATGGAGAAAAAAAGATTAACTTTAAGTATTAACAGGAAGTCTGCAGATTTAGTCAGGCATTAAAAATTTATTAATAAATAAACAAAAAACAACCAGTACAGAGTCACAAGACACCCTCCATGCTTACTGGAACTTGTGCCGAGTCCATGAAGCGTATTCCAAAGTAGTCTTTCTCAACAATGTCCAGATGGTACATGATCTGTTCAAACAGCTCCTCGCCTTTGGCTTTTTTCTGTAGAACCAAACACACGAAAGAGAAGACTTCAATGTTCTTGTTTCAGCACATTAATGAAAGTTAGGGTTGCCTCGGCCTCCATGAAGTTTATAATTATAAAACTGATTATTTGATCACAGTCTTTGCAATGCCTGCAGCTCTGAAAAAAATTTTTTTATGGGAAATAATATAATTCCCTGGAATACATTCTGACTTGTGTGAAAGAGATTAGAGAAAATGTTAAGCTGTCAGAAGCTGAATAGATGTTGCCCTCTCTGACGAGGCCGTACCAGTCACTGCCTGCGTTCACGTTGGGACTGGGAAATATCTCTCAAATATACACCGCTTTCCTCTCAGTCTCACATTTCCATGAGGAGCAGTCACATCTCATAACAGAAGCTTTGTGTGCATCCGAGATCAATCTGCAGCTCCACAGTTCTCATCATCAGCCTATAAAATCGGTACCACTCGGTCACCACTGCCTGATCGAACTGGCAGCATCTGTTCATCCATAATAAGAAAGCAGGAATTATTTGATCAAACAGGTGTAGTTTCAACTGTTTACCAGGTTTCACCACCCCCGGTTACTGGAGCACAAGCCTTTTTAGTTAAAACGTTCCCTGGATGCCACAGTACTTTTCCATGTGCCAGGTAACATTGTTTCTAGCATACTAGGCCTGGAGTTTCCCATTTATCTCACTTCATGCAACCAAACCAGTTACAGGACATTCTTTCTGAGGCTATAACGGCACAACTATGTGCAAAATGTTATTTCCAGAAATGGGTTAAGTGTTTAAGAACTAAGTAAAAAGCTTAAGCAGGACTGCCTCGATCACACACACACACACACACACACACATCCCAAGAGAGCTCCTGGGCAGCACAGGGGGGCTGGCCCCATGCTAGCTGGCATAGCTGACGAGGCATACCGCACCCCTACAGTACCCTGGGAGAGGGAGCACAAAGGACTCATTGTGTGTGTGTGTGTGTGTGTGTGTGTGTGTGTAGCATTGTTAGAGTCTTGGCAGTCTTTCTGCCTCCCTATGAGCACACAGTTCTCCCTCTGAGATACTCAGATTGTTTAATGACAACAAAAGTCTTTAACCGATATCAACTACTGCAGTACGAGTCCAACCAAGCAGCCGGGGGAGCGATGTGTCCATAAAAGAAAAGGAAACAATATCTAAGATGAGTAGAAGGGTTACAGGGTTATTTTAGAAAGAAAAACACGATTCGAGTGTTTGCATGCATGTAAATTTAGTCTACTCTTAAATACTCCATTCAAAAAGCATCCATGGGTTTGACCTTTTCTCTGGTGCTACACACAAAAGAAGGTCAGTGGAGGTGATAGGGTGGGGTAAACAAAACATAAGGGAATAAACGTCCAAACGGGAAGAATCCTTTGGCCTGGGGTGGTCTTACATACAAGAACCAGAGATGGTAAACCAGTGAGGTATGGATCCTATTCAGTGTGTATTTACAGCCACTCGGACGTCTCAAAAGAATAAAGGAAACCAGGAAGCACTGAGAAGGGACACACAGCATTTCCTAAGTTACTGTGTGTCTAAGCTGACACCTGGTGCCAGATGTTTATACCACTGGTTCCCAGTTGGTGTGTTAAAACACACTATAGTGATCTGAGATTGTTTTTTTTACTGTGAGTCGAAGGGCACCTCTGTCCACTGAGCCAATCCACACTGCTCAGGTGGTAGAAATTTTAATCTGCTTTAGCTTAAGTCTGACTTAGGATGCAACACTGAGAAACACCACCCTGAGAGAGATGTAGAGAACTTCAAAGGAGGACTGGGTCTGAACCTAAAGCCACGTTAAGGTGATGCATGGAGGGCATACGCTAGCAGAGAGGCCCAAAAAATGTCTCGGTCTTAGAGAAGAAGGGACTTCACCTTTGTCCAAAGGTCTTCTGTCTTTATTATCCTCAGCTGTGAAGTAGGGCTGCTCAATTATAGCAAAATTGGTCAACTTTAAACTCTACCATAGAGCCTTCACTGTGAGAAGTCTGCAAAGGCAGACTGGGACGAAGAGAGGGCCAGGAGGCAGCGGACCCGCTGCTTCGATGGCCGGCACAGTATAAATGCAGAGAGCAACAACAGCTAACACTTCTGTCACACAAACCTGAAAGCTGACCGAGTGGTTAAAAGGGCAGCTGCAGGTTCTGTTAATGAAGCCTCTGCAGCAGGGCGGGCAGTTCATTTTCCCCAAGAGTCCACATGACAAACTGGGACTGTTGTGTGCACGTGCATGCTTTTGTAAAATTTCAAAGGCTTTTAATACAAAGTGTTATTGCTGTCTTGCTTCTTGTTAATTACTTCAGCTACTTCCCTTTTAGTTCTCACTCAGTGAGAGAAATCTGGTCTGTTTTGGGCTTTAAGTGCATTAAAGTCAGGTTCAGTGCGGTCACTGGGAAAGTTTGTGTATCTGGATTTGTTAGACTTCATCATTGAGAATGTGATGATGGTAGATCCAAAGACGGCCAACGTTTTCTGAGCACGTGTGCGTATGAGTGTAAAGTTCTCCTCTTTGACAGTAAAAACTCCAAACTGTCTGTGATTCAGCCACTTCTGAAGTTAACCATTAAAGTTACAACACCAATAATTAATTTTTAACAATAATTAATTTAATTTTTAGCGCTTACACAACACCTCCTGGTGCTAAATTACCAATTTCAGAACTCGATTCATTTCAGAACTCAAGTTTTACTGAACCATAAAACTCCAGAAACGAATCTTGAACTGTGTAACATGCGTATTATTAACAGTGTCTGAAACGCAGACATCTGGAGGCCGAAAGCTGAAGCATTTGCTCCTAAACCTCTGCTTCACTCTGTGCGCTCACGCTGTTTGTATGAAATATAATGAAAGTTCAGCTCCCTGTGCTGCGTGGCTGGCAGCGTAGGAGAAACAGTTCAAACAGCATAGAACAACAAAGGAAAACAACAGCCTCTCCAAACCATCAAGGCTTCCCAAAGCGACAGGAAACAAGTTTTCTTTAAGTTCTTTTAACTAAACATTGTGCCAACACTTCCCAGTAGGGCTCTGCTGCAAGGCGGGAAAATTCTTTCATCTCGATCTCGTCAAATTAAAACTGATAAACTCTGCATTCACTCACTCACTCACTCACACACACACACACACACACACACACACACACACACACAGAGCTTCTGGCAAATACAAAAGGTCCTCCCTAAACATCACAACGTTTTAATTGTGCTTCCGTAACCCCTTAAAATACACTTTTGTATTCTTAGTAACTTTCATTATTATTCAGTTTTTCATACACAGTAAATTGGGCATCCCCCAACGAGGCTTTAGTCAGAGTCAAAATAAAATTACCAGCACTGTAATGAAATTATTTTTAATTTTATTGGGGAGTAATGAGCTCCAACGTAGCGGATATTTGTGTGATCCAAATGATCAAAAATAACAGGACTCGAGTTCAGTCACAGAAGGTAACACAGACTCTGAAAAATCCCTGTTATTCCAAATCTTTACTAATCTTTCTGATGACTATACTGAGAAAAACTGCATAACTTTGTAGTGACAAACCCACCGGTGAGACACAACTTATTATGAGGTTATCAGAAAGACCCCCAGTTTCAGCAGCACCTCAGCGTCTGTCAACAGGTACTGCTCTACACTAGGCAGGCTTAGGGCAGGACCACTGACAGAGCACAGAGGGGAGACATCTATGACATCTAATTAAAGCAGGATGAGATATGAAACAGACACGAAAGAAAAGACTGCAGGCCATAACATACTGATGGCCTGCGTCTGTGCTTGCTTTTTAAAGAAATATTCCAACTTCAATGATAAAAATTGATGATTAAAAAAAAAAATTTGACTCAAAATTAATCACCATCAGCAGATCTGTGTGTCACGAGTACCACAGAAGGCTAAGCTGGATTGCTAGCAAAGCTGCCAGAGTGATCCACTACAGCTGTGACCAGACGTTTACAGACGTTTGAGGCTACAATCATTTCTTTTAACTGTTCTTTTTCTGGGTGAAATTATTGTACAGCATACATCTTAAACAAAAAACAAACTGGGTGGACAAGTTTACATTTTTATTTTTCTGTATTTCACAATAATATATATTAATATATATTACAGTGTTTTTAAGTTGATCAGAAGTTAATATTGTGACTGACTACAACTGGCAGCTTCTCTTTGTCAACATAATGAAGAGCATTTGTTTGACAGCACTTACTGGACAGACCAATCCGATGAGTGTGGTCATTAGATTGACCTTGGACCTTCCCAAACAACAGGAAAGTCTAAGGAACTCTAAGGCTGCGTTCACACTGCAGGCGAAAGCGCTTCAAATCCAACTTTTCTGACCCTCTGCGACCCATATCTGATCATG